GAGTCAATTCTGACTCGTAGTGACCCTATAGGACAGAGTAGAACAGCCTCATAGGGTTTCCAAGGGGCGCCTGGTGGATTCAAAGTGCTGACCTTTTGGTTAGCAGCCGTAGCTCTTAACCACTGTGCCACCAGGGCTCCATACACATACAGACACACACACACACACACACATTGGAACTAGTAAGTGAAAAGAGAGCAGTGGTAATGGAGAAAAACATTTACTCTGCTAGGCCTTATATTATGTAATAACTTTCAGGAACACAAGGATTCATTGTCATTTAAGAATTAACTGAACCACTGGTAACCTTCTGAAGGACATGTGTCCTGCATCTCAACCCTACAAGTAAACTAGACAACTAAATAAAAAGCATGAAACTATACTAAGTACCCTGTCTTAGACATCTAGTGCTGCTCTAACAAAAATACCACAACTGGATGGCTTTTAACAAAGAGAAATTTATTCTCTCACAGTCTAGCAGGCTACAAATCCAAATTCAAGGCATCAGCTGCAGGGGAAGGCTTTCTCTCTCTGTCGGCTCTGGAGAAAAGTCCTTGTCATCATCAATCCCCCCCAGACTAGGAGCTTCTCTGCGCAGGAACCTCGAGTCCAAAGAACACACTCTGCTCCCAGCACTGCTTTCTGGGTGGTATGAGGTCCCCCACTCTCTGCTTGCTTCCCTTTTCTTTTATCTCTTGTAAGATAAAAGGTGGTGCAGGCCACACCCCAGGGAAACTCCCTTTACATTGGATCAGGGATGTGACCTGAGTAAGGGTGCCATGTCCCACCCTAATCCTCTTTAACGTAAAATTACAATCACAGAATGGAGGACAACCACACAATACTGGGAATCATGGCCTAGCCAAATTGATACACACATTTTTGAGGGGACATAATTCAATCCATGACATACCCCAAACCCTCTCATCCATTTAGAGTATAGCTTAAGAAGCCAGGCTGGTTTCTGGTTATTCTAACCTTTCATCTACGATGTAATGGCTTGTTTATTCATTACTGAACAAATAAATATTAGAGGCCACTTATCCTAATCAGAAGGAGTCCTGGTTGCGCAATGGTTAAGCGCTCGGCTGGTAACCAAAAGGTCAGCAGTTCAAATCCATCAGCTGTTCCTTGGAAACCCTATGGGGCAGTTCTACTCTGTCCTATAGGGTTGCTATGAGTCGGAATCGACTTGAGGGCAGCGGGGTTTTTTGTTCGTTTAATCAGGGAGGTTAGTACATAAAGAGTAACTATAAACCCCAACAACGAAGCTCCAGAACCAAAAAGTAGAAATAAACACAGTGTCAGTTACTGGCCAGAAAGTCAAACCCCTAGATATATATACTATCATTCTTCCGCTTCTCCTACAGGACTCCTGTGCTTCTCTCAGGGCCAAGGGAGTATGCTTAGGCAGGCTCCCCCAGAGCTTCTGACAGATGGCTTTCTCCTTTCTCCTTGGGGAAGAATCAAGTACATTAACGAGATAATCCTAAATGCTTTTGTAACTTAAAATTAACCCAAAGAAATGAGTGTATGTGACACAAAAAGCCAGACTTCCTCTTTGCTTAACGTGGAGAACTAATATCCTTTTGGAGCCCTGGTGACGAAGTGGTTAAGAGCTCAGGATGCTAACCAAAAGGTCAGCAGTTCAAATCCATCAGCCCCGCCTTGGAATCCCTGTGGAGCAGTTCTACCCTGTCCTATAGGGTCGGTATGAGTCAGAATCGACTCAACGGCACACAACAACAACAATATCCTTTTACATCTGGCACCAAACCAAAGTGACCCCCACACACAAGCAGCACCTCTCCTCTCCCTCCTTAAAGTCCAAGATGTTCCAGACAACATAACAAACCACAAGGTTGGGAATGATTCATATGTTTCCACTCTGTCCAAAAAATGAGCAAAAAAAAGTTTCCACTTAATTTATAATCAGAATTGTCTGTACATTTCCTAAAAAATTAAAGAGGAACTATTTAAAATCTGGCCTTCCTTTCTCCAAAAATTACTGATTAGTTACTCACTTCACTAAGGTATCTTTTGGTAACGTATTTGTGTATTCCGTCCACTGCTGGAGATGAGGGCTATATCTGCTTGATGCCAAATATCTAATCAATCATCCAGTGATTTCAGATGTTTTCAAATAGCTGGTGTTCTGTAGATACAGGCTTATTCTATCCAGTCTTTTGTGTTATCTCAACAGTACATATGGATACAGATTTTTCTGTTTGGAATATTTCTCACGGCCATTGTCTTATTATAGTCCCAACACCTGCAAATAGTTGGCAGAGGTTGTTCCATTCTCTCCATATCCCCGACTCTTCCCACAACTCCGCCCCTATCTTTTGCCATTATGAAGCTGTAAGTTTATACAATATGTCCTTTCTTGATGCTGTTATTGTCTATCTATGACCCATAAAATGTGCAGTTGCTGGAGCATGAGGTTAAGTTTCAAATTACAATTCATGTGGAAAACTTAGGTTCAAAACAAAGACACAGCAAGTTATATAGATAGCAGGCAGCAGGTAGAAAGGATACATAACTCAGGATCTAGAGGCTTATTTCCAGGTCCCCTACTAACCAATTCTGTGACTTTGACCAAATCACTTAACATCAAAGTCTCAGTTTACGCAAATTTAAAGTGTAGGGCTTAGACTAGACCAAGTCCAAGCTCTGATATTTTATGATTCTAAGAATTGAAATCAATGAGATTATTCCTCACTGCAGCTTTGATGAAGTCCCTGGGTGGCGCAAACAGTTAAGCACTTGGCTGCTAACCAAAAGGTTGGTAGTTTGAGTCCACCCAGAGGCACCTTGGAAGAAAGTCCTGGTAATCTATTTCTGAAAGATCACAGCCATTGAAAACTCCGTGGAGCACAGTTCTACTCTGGCACACATGGGGTCGCCATGAGTTGGAATCGACTCAACAATAACTGGTTTGTTTGTTTTTTTACCCTTGATATGAATGAGAGTATCACTTTAAGTGAAATCATCGGACCATATAGAATTTTGTACAAAATTTATAAATATTAGATATAAATAATAACCAAAAAGGCAGAAACCATTGTTAGTATGACCACCCTCAACAACAAACTACACTGTTGCTTGCAACAAACTGCAGAAGGGAAACTGTACCATATTCGGAGTATTGCCACCCTTATCAATATTATAATTTTACATAAGTCCCAATGAATTTTCCAGAGAATGGAAGAAAATCTCCATTCCTGTCTTGCCCTCCTTCCATTCTATCTGGGTCTTCCTTCTAACTTAGCTTCTGTACTCATGCCTGATTCTTGGATGGTAATCTTATTATTCATTTAAACATTTTATTTTCCTGGAATCTTATTAAATAGATCCCGTCTTAAGAGATTTTATACTACACAGCAGGTAGGCAATGGGAATAAGGTAATTTGCCGGATCTCACATTTGTTAATATCAATGTGAGGTTAAAGCAGGGCTTTAAAAAATAGGCACTTAGACTTGCATATAAATATTATATGGCACAACAACAGATGACTGCAGATCAATTGATCATCCAAAAAAACCTCAGTCTACCAGAAAAGGACGAGTAAGACATGGGCCTCCCCTGTAAGTAACTTCTGATTTAAAGGGAATCTGTTGAAACTCGTTGCCATCGAGTCGATTCCAACTCATGGTGACCCTATCGGGCAGAGTAGAACTGCCCCGTAATGTTTCCAAGGCTGTAATCTTTACGGAAGCAGACTGCCACATCTTTCTTCCACAGAGCGGCTGGTGGGCTCAAACCATCAACCTTTCAGTTAGCATCCAGGTGCTTAACCACTGCACCAGCAGGACTCCTTTTAAAGGGGGATAGATATAGCTAAACAACATAAATTTTAATTATCATACCAGAAAAAAAAAAAAACACTCTGTTCACTGAACACAAACAAAAGACTTCCAAGGTAGGGACTGCAAACAGGTGCTTCTGTCTATCACCCACAAAAAATGAACACTGGAACAAAATGTTATACTGAATTAAATATTTATTGTCTTCAGTGTAAAATTTTTAGTTCAGGTATTTAATTCTCTCTCCTGACTTTGTGGTACACTGATGTTTCTTTTTTTGTTTGATTTTGGTTTTGCTTTTAAGGCAGGCTTAGAATTAGCCCCTTGTTAAGTGCTTATGAGGATCCCTGGTGGCGCAGAGGTTAAGTGCGCAGCTGCTAACTGAAAGGTCAGCGGTTTGAACCCACCAGCCACTCCACAAGAGAAAGATGTGGCAGTCTGCTTCCATAAAGATTTACAGCCTTGGAAACCCTATGGGGCAGTTCTTCTCTGTCCTGTAAGGTCACTGTGAATTGGAATCAACTCGATGGTAGTGGACTCTTTGGTTAAGTGCTTATGGCAATTTAAGCCAATGCCAAACCTTTGCTTCTTTAGTGTACCCAGTATACACACAAACATAAACTAATATCCTCCACAAAAATCTCTCACCTACACAGATACAGTCGACACTCCACCCACACCTACAGAGACACATCCAACCTTCCTATTGCTATACACATGCATATGCAAATCAGCACATATGCTAATTGTAGTACACCTACACAGGTACTCACACACTTAAAAGAAGAGGCAGAAAGATCATAGCAAAGATAGGTAGTGTGTAATAAGTCACTGACAGAGGAGAGAGGGTGCTGTTTCCCTGTACAGACTACAGGTGTGGTGGGCCATGGGCTCATTCCCCCCACCTCCAGAATCGGCCAGAAGTGTATGGATGGAAGCAGGTTTATGCAACAGATTAGCAGGCTGCAGTGAAAGCTTGCAGATGAGTAGGTTATTCCTCATGAGAACGACTTGGCATTAACTCACTTGTCATATAGGAAAAGTGACTCATTTTATTGGGGAACTTGCTAACTAACTGTATAACTGCATATAAAGAGACAAGGTTGTGGTGCAAGGGATACTTCCCAGATCCCTTACCTTGAGTTTTTCAAATCGATCATTCAGGGATGCCACCTGATGGTCTCGGTGACGCCCCACCAGTTTGCATAAGGCACAGATCAATTGGTCATCAGATACGCAATACATGTTCACTTTCTCGTTCTCATGGTCCAGGCAGGTGATCCCTCGAAGATGCGTGTCTGGCACTGGTTCGACCAGGCGGTGGCTGGTGAAAGGTTTCTTGTTGGGGTGTGTGGCCCGCAGGCAACGGTCACAGTAGGAGACCTCACAGGTGATGCATGTTTTCACTGCATCCCGGGGTGGGTCCTGCTCACAGAACTGGCAAGCAATTCGTTCACTGGACATGGTGGTGCTGGGCCTGTAAGTCCTCTCCCGGCGGCTCTCACTTGGGGAGTTGGGCCCACTTACTGAAGCCTTCTGGAAGCGGTCAATAATGTTCTGCAAGGTCACATTCCTCTTGAGGCCGTCCAGCCCCCGGTGGTTCAGTGAGATAACATACCTGCACGTAGGACACTGGAAAGCAGTAATGGGTTCAATGGATTCACCAGAGCTGCAGCTTGAGACCAAGATGCGATGGGCACAGCTGAAGCAGAGGCTATGAGCACATGGGAGCAGAAGGGGGTCTTCAAACAACTCTAGGCAGATTGGACAGGTCAATTCAGACTCCAGTGTTTCCATCTTTAGTGAAAATAATCCTGCTGAGGCATTAAGAACCACAGAGGCTGGGCTTTCACCTGCAAGGAATACAAAGCAAGAGGTATTAAGCATTTCCAAAGGAAAAGTAGATGTAGCATAATTATACATTAACCAATGGAGGCTTTATGTGCTGGACTCCCCAGGGATGCTTGAGCAATAGGAAAGCAATTTGGGAATTAATCAGAAAGTCTTTTTCCCCTTCTTCAGACATTGTTCTTGACAAATGCCTGAGTTTATTTTCCTGTACTAATAAATAGAACCTAGTGGCCACCTATGAATCCTGGTTTACTGATTAACAGTCTTATTCCAGCTCACAACATTGGTATGGATCATTCTCTCACATATTCTCCACTGACATCTCTTGTCCTAGACTATGATGATCCTGAAGCCCTGAAAAATTCTCAAGCTCCATTCTCCAATATTGTTCTCTATTTCACTTCAAAGTAAAATATAGGGGCTGTTCCTATTTCACATCCAGTGGAAGGAAAACAAGGCCATATTTCAAAATAACTCTCTAGTTCTTGAAATGAGTTCCATTCTGAGAGCCTGTGTAAAATACAAGAGAGAGCTTCAGAAAAATGTAGTTCTCAGCTTAGGATAATAAGTTCTTCTTCAGAGTGTGTGCTTGAATTACTTCCTATTTCCACTCATGGAAACGTCTGTTCCATCTCATTTCTAGTAAACTGAGTTACTAGGGACAAAAGACGACAGTTTTTACTTTCATTTTCATCCCTCACCCTCAGAAAATCCTTCATTTCGTCAAGCTGAATCAGAAATGATTTCAACTTTTCGACTTACTCAACAATAGCTGCTGATAAATGATGAAGACATATTGCCTCGCGGTTCAGTTTGGTTTAAAACACCTGCTGAATTTGCACAAGCCTGCTATGAAGCTCATGTCCCCCATGTGACTTTTCTTACTTCCTAAAACAGGAAACAAATCAAAACCAGGATGCAAATCAAGATCTCTATATTACTTAGCAAGGTGAGCATCCAAAAATTTCTGACAACCAGAAATTTTCAGATCTGTTGGCCTTCATTTGAGCGTGCATCACAGAGGAAAAGAAGTTGCCCAATTGACAGGAGACTAACCTCTTAGTCAATCAATCCATCTGTTCTCCCACAGACATTTCTGTGCTGAACATGTCTTCAATTAATTAAAATCTACACACATAAATATTCTGTTAGGCTTCACTGAGAAGTATAAGATATATCTTATTGACTGAAAATGTTAATCCTATTTATAAGAAAGAAAGGCATCTTAGGTTTTTGAACAACTTTTGTTTATCATTTCCATATCACCGGACACCCTCATCAAGGCTTGGAAATTTGATTCTGCAATTGTTATTTGTTTAGCTATCATCATTCATCAGCGTTATCTCATAGCTCTCTTGCAGGATACTTAAATACTGAGTACAATTATACCTTGTGCATAGGTATAATAGATGTATCCCTAAAAGCTGTTTCTAAATAAAACCTTTCAAGTGCACTGACGTAACTGGCTATTTACTACGGAAATCTATAGGAAATTGCGTTGTAAAAGTACATAATCTTTTTGTAAAACAGTCACTCCCAGTTGGTTTAGTAGGTTCGGATGTTTGTATAGCCACTTTTTAAAAAGTGAGACATGTGGTATTCTTCTTTTACAATTTCAAATACTTGAAGTTCGTTGGCCAATATTTTATAGCTTACAACATCTATCAGCATTCATTTATAGAGACTAAAAAATAATGCAATTAATATATAAGTATTTCATAGATTCTTACAATTGGAAGAGACTTTAAAGATCATAGACTCCACCTTTCAGCTCGACAGGAATATTGTCTTAAACAGCTCCACCTGATATCCCTCAGATGCTCAAATTCAACATATCCATAAATGAACTCATTATTTTCTCACCCAAATCTGCTCCTCTTCCTATTTTTCCTATCAGGTGAATATCACCATCCAAGCCAGAAACCTAGTTCTCTCATTTACTTGTTATCACCTCAACCCCTGGTGGCTTCCAGAACATTCTGTTTTATTCACTTGCATATCTGCTTCTCCAGCAACCTCTCCCTGCTCCTCGATGGCATAGATTATTTCATATTTTATCTATAGCACAGTGCTTCACGTAAACTAGGTATGAATAATTGTTAAATGAAAGATTCCTTAAGCTAAAAGAAGGAGGGAGCTAGCATTTATTGAGCACCTGCTGTATACCGGATATTAGGTTAAGCACTTTACACACACTACTTCATTTAATTCTTACAGGAAGCCTGTATATGAGGAAGGTCCTATTACTATACCCCTTGTATAGTTAGGAAACTGGGGCTCAGAGTCTTCAAGTAAATCAACTGGGACATACAACCAAGTGGCAGCGCACTGGGTCAATCTAATGCCAATGCCTGTGCTCTTTCCCCTACACCTTTATTTCAATCATCTCACTCCTTCACTGAAGTTTTATCTTGACTACCTGCAACAGGGCCTCTAAGCAGCATGTTTTCGCTTCTATTTTTGTCTCTCTGTGTCCCTCAGAGATTCTCTGAATCTGCCTATCTCATTCTGAGTCCCTTCCCGAATCATATGACTTCTAGGCCCATCTCCACCTCACACTGCATTTCTTATTACTATCTCTTCCAGAACTGCACACCTTCATTCCCTCAACTTTTGTGTTGGAAGCTACCTGAGAGATTTGAGTAAGGCCTCCTGCAAAAATGACAGTAGGTCAGGAGCATTGCTGAAAGACATGTCTATGTGTTGAAACCTGTATAAAAACAATTAGAGTACCTCACTCTCTTAACTCTTAGGAGGGTGCCCATATAAATTCTTCTGTGCAGAGGAGAAGCTCTTCAATTTTCCCTAACCAAAACTCGCTGCCCTTAAGTCAATTCTGACTCACAGCGACACCATAGAACAGAGCAGAACTGCCATATAGGGTTTCCAAGGCTGAAATATTTACAAGGGCAGATGTGGCAACATCTTTCTCCCATGGGGCTGATGGGCTCGAACTGCCAACTTTCCAGTTAGCAGCTGAGCACTTTAACCACTGCGCCACCAGGGCTCCTCCTCAATTTTCCCTGTTGCCCTAAAAATTGTTCATGAGTCAACGTGACACTTGAACCTCACTATGAAATTAGCATGGGAAAGCATGCTATGGGTCAGGATTGCCTTGAATAAGGTCCAAATAGGGTGGTCTAACTAGAGATTTCTGAACCTCCTAGAACTGTTTGCAGAATGTTGCATGTCATATATGAATTTTCATGGGAAGAAGCTTGTCCAAAGCTCTCAAACATTCTCAAAAGAATCCTTGACTAAAAAAGAAAAAAAAAATTCAAGCATCAGTAGTCTAAAATAACCTACTATGGGACGAAAAACTTGATTTGACCTTTTGTTTCTGGTTTCTGAAAACAGCTCTTAGAATTTAACAGCAATCAAGATTGCCTGTTTGTTCTCTAAAACAGCCAGGCAATACTTAAACATGTGTAAATGAGTAGGGGCTGCACATGCCCAACCCTGGCTGCGAACCTCAGAAAGGGAGGAGGGCAAGATGGGCTCTATCATACATCTTCATTGACTCATGCATAGGTATTAAAGCCCCAGTTATGCAAATTCATTAAAGCCTCAATGACTAAAGGACCCTGGGTCTCTCTCTTTTGGGTGAGAACAGCCGTGCACAGAAGAGCATGTAATAGGGACAGTGGGACAATGGAACTCTTGCGCCAGGACTTCTCCCAGACCTTGTCTGATGCTTCTCTTCACTTGTGTCCTTTCTGGTTATAATAAATGAGTAACTGTAAGTATAGGTAGTCTCCATGAGTTCTGTGAGTCATTCTAGAGAATTATCCAACCCACGAGGGCAGAGAGAAAAATTCCATGTGGGTGGCTGGTGTCAGAGATGGAGAAGTGGGAAACTGGGGATATGAGTTATTCTAGCATTTTGGAAATTAGCCTTGTGTTAGTTTTTATAAATGCACCTACCTTAACTGATTTGGGCTCTATAAAGAATAATATAAGGTGGCTACACTCTGTTGCTTGTTTTAAGTAGCTTTTCTATACCATTTCTGTTTTTTATTTTCATATAGTAACTGCTTTACTCAATTTTGAAGAGCTGATTATTTTTTCAACTTCTTCAAATATCTATTCATCTCATCTATCATTTATGAGGCCACCTTGTTCAGGAGTGCTGGTGGTGTAGTGGTTAAGAGCTACGGCTGCTAACCAAAAGGTCAGCAGTTCAAATCCACCAGCTGCTCCTTGGAAACCCTATGGGGGAGTTCTACTCTGTTCTATACTGTCGTTATGAGTAGAATTGACTCGACAGCAACAGGTTGTTCTGTTCACTAATATTTCAGCATCCTTTCAACTCTCCCCCATTTTCTCTACCTCCCTGATTATTTAAGCACCTCTCCCCTTAAAATTTACTGAGTATTTACTATGTGTCAAGCACTATACAATATCCTTTACATGCATTATCTCATTTAATTTTCACAACAACCCTCTAAGACATAGGTACTATTATTACAAAAAAGGGAACTTGTCTAAGGTCACACTGTTTGCAAGTAGCAAAGCTAAGATTCAAACCCAGAATAAAACTGAGAGTCCAGAAAGAAACCCATATGTTTGTGGTCAATTAATTAATTTTGGATGTCAAGACAATTCAACGGGGAAAGAATAGTCTTCTCAATAATTGATGCTGGGACAACTGGATCTCCACATGCAAAAGGATGAAGTTAGATCCGCACTTCACACCACGTACAAAAATTAACTCAAAATGGATCAAAGACTTACAGCTAAAACTATAAAGCTCTTAAAAGAAATCACGTATAAATCCTGCGGCCTTAGATTAGGCAATGGTTTTTAGATATGACACCAAAAGCACAAGCAACCAAAGAAAATATAGATAAATTGGACATTACAAAAATTTAAAAACTTTTACGCTTCAAAGGACACCATCAAGAAAGTGAAAAGGCAGCTTATCACAGAATGTAAGAAAATTTTTGTAGATCGTATAGCTGACAAGGGACTTGTATCTGGAAATATAAAGAACCCATATAAC